AAAGTTTCTCTCATAGAGGGAGGCTGGGGGTGCAGAGTAGGGTGTTGGTGAATGGTAGTGGGGAAACAGAGGACATTGGCGGTGGTAAATGTCCATTGGTGGAGAGATGGATGCTGGATAATTGTATGACTGAAACCCAATATGGACAGCTCTATAATGGTCTATCTCATGGATATCAATTAAAAAATTTTAAAAAATAAAAGTAATGTGGATTTCATGCCCACTTCAGTCAGCTTAATCAGTGACTGAACAAATCACATTACTCCTGAATTTCAAAACAAAGTAAAATTAAAATAAAACAATATAATAAAATATTCTGCTTTTCTTGACAGCTTCTCAAAACAAAAAGCCCTAATTGTGATTTGGCAAACTCTAAATATAGATAGATCTCAATTTGTGTGAGTCTGTAGGAAAGAATAACAATATGATAATTTCTGTTAGCTTCTATATTAGCATGATTCAGATAATTAAGAAGAGTGGCCTATCAACTCAAGATAAATAGCAACTTGTCTCCATATTTTGATGGGGTTACTGGTTTTGTTGATGTTGAGCTTTATGTGTGCTCTAAATGTCTTGAATGTTCGCCATTTAGCTGATGTATTGTTTACATATATTTTCTCCCATTTAGTAGTGTGTATTTTTATCTTAATATGTTCCTTTTACCATACCAAGCCCTTTCTAGTTTGATTTATTCCTGTTTATTTATTTTGCATTGTATCTGCCTCTGGAATTAAGTCATTGGTGACACCTTTGATGTCTGTATCTTGGAGAGATTTGCCTATGTATTTTTTTTTTGATGTACTAACAAAGGGTTTAAACTCAACATTTTTAATCCACTTTCTTTTAACTTTTGTCAAAGTTTTGAAATATGATTCCAGTTATTTTTCAATGTATAAATCCTATTACCCAACACAGGAAAACTATAGAATTTTTGTTGCCTGTCTGGCATACCCAGCTCCTTTTACATAAACTCTTCAAAGATCTGGGGATGTATTACTGAGATCTGTTATGTTCTACTGATATACAATTTTGTCTTGATTTTGATTACTCTAGCTATAATACAAACTACTGAATATAAACATTTATTTTCATAGCCCACGTGTGATAAGGAATGTGAATTTCACCCATCTTTTATCAGACTGTGAAGAGATAGTTCAGGGTTTAAGGTACATAGTTTAAGGCACAGACTAGAGAGATAGTGCAGAATTTAAGGCACATATGGGGCATGCGCTTGACCCTTGCTTAGTACCCAGGGTCATAGCATGAGAGGCCTGGAGAACCATGAAGGTGGCTTACTTTATCCCTAGCACTGCAGCACCTGAAGCAAAATCTGTGATTTCTGATCAACCATTCAAGATGTCTCATTCCTCATCACAAGAAAAGAAAGACTCTGAGCCAGACTATAAAAAAACTCCTGGAACTCAACAACATGAAAACAATCATCCTATTTTAGCTCCTTCCGCTACATTAAGGTGTCATAGAGTGGGTGACTTAAAGCTGACATAGTTTCTCACCATTTGCAAGTTCAGAATAAATGTACATGCAACCTGGTTGTCTTGCGAGTGGCCTACTTCATGACCTGTTGTGATCCCTGGTTTTAGGGATTAGAACTTCAACAAAACTACATTCTGGAGATATGTGACCTATTAGAATCTGTAGCATAATTTATTTAAGATATGCATTCAATATTTCAATAGAACTTTCAGCTATGAAAATACATAAATTATGGTAAGCATATGAAACGTTGTGGAACACCATCAATCATTAGGAAAGTATAAATGAAATGTTATGTAATATTATGTATTGCTAAATGAGTGTTGAAAATTAGATACATAACAGCAATAGCAAAGCAGATATCTCATAGTTACTAAGATTCAAACATTAGAAAATCAGTATGATAGGGAATGCAAAATGTACATTGACTTTAGAAATAGTTTGGTAGGGCCAGAGATATAATAGAGAGAGCAGTTTTATTTATAATTACCAAATATGGAGCAATCTAAACTTTCTTCTTCATGGGAATAGCTAGACAGACAGTATAGTCCATTAATATAGTGAGATGCTATTTAACAAATAGGCAACAATGATGAAATCTTGGTTCCATTTCTAATGTCCTTTACTACATGGGTTACAATTTTATGTCATTTTTTGAGGAAAAGTCAAACTCTTGAGTTAGAGACCAGATTAGTAGTTTATAGGGTTTAGGAAATGGAAGGGTTGAATCCAAAGGGGCAACAAAGGAACTTCTAGTGAAGATATATCTGTCCTCTATCTTGATTTTAGTAATAGATATACAGTTGTGCTTTTCTTTAAATTAATTAAATCATACCACACAAAAAGGGAATTTTATTGTATGTAAATTTAAAAGTTATAGAAATGATAAGTGATAGTGTTAAAGCATTGAAATTGATATCTATTTCTATGCAAGAAAATTAACTTCAAATCACTTGACTTTGTTTTTCTGTTAACGGAAATGTATTTTTACTCAAGCAGTTGATGATATGCTTAAGAATAGTCTATACTATTTAAGTTGTCATGAGAAGTTAGAAATATTTTAACTATAGAGCGGCAGTTAAATGAATTATATGACTTTCTAATTGATAGCCATTAGTATTATGTTTCTAAAGGTTAATTACACGGAGAGGTGATTGCTCTTTATGTACTGTCAGTGTACTCTATTGACTTACTCAGTTTAATTTTAAATATTGAATTTCAAATATTTTAAATCTTTAGAAAACTTAAAATACATTCTTATGGTGTGCCACTGATTCAGCTGATCTCTGCCATTTTCTAAGTAGCTAGACATATAAATAAGTAGGTAGATAATATAAGTAATAATTTTTGCACTTAATAATTTAAGTTCAACTAATTTTTTTTCTAGCTAAGAAAATATAGGGTGAAGAACTGAAATAGTATCTTTGACCCAAATAATTTTCCTTTTTAAAATGGAATAATTTTACCAATAATTTAAAGTTGTATTATACATACATGGTGATTTGTAATTTTCCAAGTGTTATTCTACATTCATTTTTAAGATTCATTGCTATAGTCAGACCTATAACCAGACAAAATTTGTGCCTTTTCTTCTACTTTTTCCTGGTATTAAACCCAAAGAAGCTTAACAATTTTCCAGGGTTACATTTTGGTAGGTATTAGAGGCTGAGCTCAAATTTAGACGGCTCAAATTTTCTGTTCATCATAATACTGCAGCTGCGTACTTTAGTATCATCTGTTTTAAATAAGTACACCATCTATTTTAAGAATAATGTAATTCTATTATTATGATTCTGAATTTACTGTTTTAAATTATTTAGCTTCTCATAAAAATTCCCATGTCACGGTCACAGTCCTCCCATTGTTCATCAATTTGCTCGAGCGGGCCCAGTAACGTCTCCATCGTGAGACTTGTTGTTACTGTGTTTGGCATATCGAATACGTCATGGGGAGCTTGCCAGGCTCTGCCCTGCGGGCGAGATACTCTCGGTAGCTTGCCGGGCTCTCCGAGAGGGGCAGAGGAATCGAACTCGGGTCGGCCATGTTGGCCGCTTGTAAGGCGAACGCCCTACCTGCTGTGCTATCGCTCCAGCCCAAAGGTAAAGGCCCTCCCGTTGATCGTCGATTTGCTCGAGCGGGCCCAGTAACGTCTCCATTGGAGACTTTGTTGTTACTGTGTCTGGCATATCGAATACTCTCGGTAGCTTGCCGGGCTCTCCGAGAGGGGCGGAGGAATCGAACTCGGATCGGCCATATTGGTTGCATGCAAGGCAAACACCCTACCGCTGTGCTATCGCATGAGTGATAAATTTCAACTCTAAGTAGATTGGGTTTGTAATTGTTTTAAAATATTTCAATGTTCTTTATTTTGAGGTGCTTTTTTTATGTTTTGTTGTGATAGCCCCTTATTTCTGCTTATTTCTTAGCAGAAATTTCTTAGCAGCTTATTTCTGTTTTTTGTGTCTAAAAAGGATAGAATCTACACAGAAAGTACAGGGTAGGTAAGGTGCTTGCTTATATGCAAGTAGCTTGTATTTGATACTGAACACCCTATGTGGTCTCTTGAGTACCACCAGAATTGATACTGAAGCAGAGTCAGAAGAAACTCTAAGAACAAACAGGTGTGGCCCAGCACCCTCCACACACACAAACACACACACACACACACACACACACACACACACACGTGTACCTTGAATAAAATAGAGTAAATCATAGCTGCTAAGTATAATTTTCAAGGTGTTGTGTGAGAAAATTGTTAAAATTGTACTTTTGTATTCAAGAATCATGTGCACGGGGGATACAGGAGTCTAGTGCTTTGTAAAATTTAAGTATCTTCTTCGCATATCTATAGGGTAAGTCAAAGAGCATAAAATATCTGAGTACTACATGGAAAGTACCATGCTAAGTGAAACGGGTCAGAAAGAGAGGGACAGACATAGAAAGATTGCATTCATCTGGGGAATATAAAGTAACAAAATAGGACACTATCATCCAAGAATAGTCGAGATAAGTACCAGGAGGTTCATTCCATAGCTTGAAGGCCAGCTGCACATGCTAGGGGAAAAGGCAGCTTAGATAGAGAAGGAAATACCAAGTAAAGGGTGTTGGGAGGATCCTCCTAGGATGGGAGATGCATGCTGAAAGTAGACTATAGACCGAACATGATTGCCACTCAATGCCTCTTTTGCCAACCACAGCACCTAAAAGGAGAGAGAGAACAAAAGGGAATTCCCTGCCACAGTGGCAGGATGGGATGGAGTGGATGGAGGGGTGGGAGACATACTGGGATCATTGGTGGTAGAGAATGGATACTGGTGGAGGGATGGGTACTCAATCATTGTATAACTGAAATCCAAGCACAAAAACTTGTAAGTCTACAACTGTACCTCACGGTGTTTCACTAATAAAAATTAAAAATATAAGCAGTGTTCGATCGTGGCGTCTATGCTGAGGGTAACATTGAATTGTAAGGTGCTTTGAGGCCATCTTTAGGAGTCCACATCATGGCAGAAGATATCAAGAGGAAAATCAAGAACTATCAGACTGCCCCTTTTATAGCCAGTATCAACCAGCATCAAACCCAGAACAGCTGGCAGAACTATCTGGACTTCCACTGCTGCCAGAAGGTGTTGAGCGCCAAAGGGTGTGACGTCCCCATGTGCAAATGGTACTGGTGTGTGTAAAAGTCCATATGCCCCTTCTCTTGAGTGTCGATTTGGGATGACCACTGGGCAGAAGGCACGTTTCCTGGAAAGATCCAAACCGGCTCCACCCCTTCTGTTTTCCGTCCTTTTCCCAAGATGTTGAAGAGGGACCAGGGCACCTGGGGATTCCCACCCTGGGATCCATGATCATGACTTAACTAATAAATACTGAAAACCCCAACCAAAAAAAAGTAGCTATTCTATATTTAAATAAATAAAATTCCTATTGTCAAAAAATAAATAGATAAATAAAATGTCTGAGTACTGTGTTGGCTAGTTTTCTGGGCCAAAGAGGAAAAGTATTTATATATATATATATATATAGAGAGAGAGAGAGAGAGAGTAGAGAAAAGATACATAAATGAGTATCCCCAGATTATTTTTATTATTTTATTATTTTTCAGAAAAAATATAAAAATCATGGACATTTTAGATATGTTGAATAGAAAATATTTGAAAACATGTGGGCATATTTAGCATTCAGTGCTTCTCTGAATCTCATCATCCAAAAACAAATGGGCCTGTAACAGTGATGCAAAATGTGTGTGATTAATTACAAATAGGTCCATGTTAGCTGTTACTCAACATTCCAAATCTGGAATTTCTTATCCCATTCATTACAGGGAGTCCTCCCCTGAGTTCCTGTAGGTATAATAGGGAATGCAGAAATGTTGATTGTTTTAAGAAACTTGAACACATGAGGTGTCACATCTAAATGAATATAAAACATATGGGGAAAAATTAGAAACTGACACAACCCTTAAATATTAGAAACTGTGACACATACCCTAACAAGGAAACCTTCAAAGACTAGACAATGATAGCCAAAGATCCTCAATGAGAATAACTTAGCTGAGGAGAAACAGAATTTCAAGGAAATTGTGCAACTTAGATGAGCATGAGTCCCCATCTACAACTGTCTGCTCACCAAAAAGAAAGGAAGAAAATAACAAGAAGGTAACTTTAAACATCTGAGATAGTTAAATTTAAAAGCATTTAGTTGTATCACTGATATGTTAATTTAAATGGATGTATTTATATGTTTCTTTTTGACCATTCCCATATGCTACCATTATCAAAGAGGAATTGACTTTTGATTTGTTTTTTCTTTTTTGTTTTGATATTGGGTGACCTTTATTTATTTATTTTTTTATTAAATCACTGAGAGATACTGTTACAAAGTTGTTTATGATTGGGTTTTAGTCATAGAATGTTCCAATACTCATCCCTTCACCAGTGTACATTTCCCACCACCAATGCCTCCAGTTTCCCTCCCACCGCCCTTCCCAACTGCCCCCCCACCCCTTATCCCTAGCCCCACCCCACTCCAGCCTGCTTCTATGGCAGGTACCTGTCTAATCTCTCTCTCTCTCTCTCTCTCTCTCTCTCTCTCTCTCTCTCTCTCTCTCTCCCCTTCTTGGCATTATGATTGCAAAAATGGTCATGAGAGGTGTAGGATAACATTGGTTTGTCCTTTCTGCCTTGCCACAGGGAGCTTTGGTTTGTTGGGTTACTCCCATCACAGTGCTCCTGTTCATCTGTGTTTATTTGTAATCTCTTTCTTTGTGTCCTTCTTCCCCAACCAGTCAATCATCTTTATCTCAATCATCTTTATCAAGCACACTCTGTTAACCCTGCTTTTCTCTTCTTCTTATGTCCTTTGCATAGTTAATTCTGAGCAATGTCCTTTTTGTATCAACACAGAAAGATATTTAATGTTGTGCTTTTGTAACTTGGGAGTTAATTGACTCTGAATGATATTAACTCTTAGGCACCTTTTTTCTCAATTTAAGCCTCAGTTGCCCTTACTTCCTAGCACCCGAAAAGCAGGGCCCCTTCAAGGGACTGAAGGGGCCCAGGACAAGCTGTGAGCTACCTTGGCATCAAAATGGACCAGGCCAAAGTGCTATAATACTTAACACTAAGTTAAGAGCATGGTCATGGACAAATTCTGGCATGATCCAAAAAGTAACAACTAGATAAGGACGCTGCTTTGTTGGACTAAGGAAAGCAGAAACACACACTAGGAGGGCTTTCATATGTTGATTGTGCTACCTACCTGGGTCTAGTTGCTACCCTCAACACAGGAGTTGGGGAGAGATGCAAGACTAAGGAGGGCCAATTTGAGTGTGGAGAGAGGAACAAGGGAGACAGGAGGAGACTGGAATGAAGGGCTTGGTGAGATTGGAACAGTCACATGGGGAGAATGGAATAAATGGCAACTGATCAACCAACCACCTTGGCCTTTGTTTCCTCCTTTGTCCACTCGTGACATCGGCTGTCCCGGGTAGGGGGAGTAGCCCAAGACCATCGAATGCAGGCCGTCAGAGAGAGCCTCAGGATTCCTAGTCACTTTGTTATTGCACAGAGAGATATATCCCTTTACCTAATTTCAGCGTTCAATTCTTGTCAAGAGTTGTTAGTATTCCAATTATCTTTGGAGAAATTGACTTTTGCAAGAAGATCAATATCACACTTAAAGATGTTCTTTTCCAACTATTTATATATATATATATATATATTTCATTTCAAACTCATAAGTAATTATTTTTAAACTTTTGCAGACATTAAATATTGAATAATCACCCTTCCTTCTTGAGTGTGTGATTAACCCAGGGAAATGTGACATTTCAGCACTAAAAATCTTTTATATTTTTTATGGATATTCATGAGCAATTATAATTTCTTCTTAAATTTTATTATATTTATTATTGGCACTGGGGCCACAGCCAGCTATGGTCAGTGTTCACTCCTACCTCTTAATTAGGGATCATTTCTGATGGTGCTCAGTGGACTGTATGGGGTTCTGGGAATTGAATTTGTGTCAGCCTCAGTCACAAGAAGGGCAAGTACCTTATCCACTGTACTGTCTCACTAACTCCTATTTCTATAGCTTAAAGCTTATTTTGCTTTTTTGCATTTTCTCTCATGAGAGTAATATCTAATATAGTATTTATGGCTAAAAGTTTTATAAACACAATTGGTTGGCTTTTCACTCAACTAATTTTTTGTGCAGTTAGAACATAAACTGTCTTAACAGGGAGTAGAAGCTATGAAGGTCAAAATAGCATCAAGATTCAGAACTAGCCTCTAGAACAAGGTTATCCATGGCCAAATTCTAGCTTTAGCCTGTGACTGTGTTTGTAATTGAGCAGGTTATTAGTTTCTTTATAAAATTAATATCACTGTATCACTGTCATCTCATTGTTCATAGTTTTGCTCAAGCAGGTGCTCATAACATCTCCATTTGTCCTAGCCCTGAGATTTTAGCAACCTCTCTTTACTCGTCCTTCTCAATGGTGCCACATTGGAGGCTCTCTCAGGGTCAGGGAAATGAGAACTATTATTGTTACTGTTATTGGCTTATCAAATACACCATGGGCATATTATATAATTAATATAGTTATTATACTCTAAATAAATTCCTACTTAGTAGGATTATTATGCAATTTAAATGGGTAAGATATGTATTTTTATAGCAATAATTGACCTCTACTTTGTGTAATGCATTGCTTGCTATCATCAATGCATTAAAGACTAACTGATTTAATAAACATACATAAATATTATAAAACTGGAGCCGGAGCAATAGCACAGTGGGTAGGGCTTTTGCCTAACACATAGCCAACCCGGGTTCGATTTCCAGCATCCTACATGGTCCCCTGAGCACCGCCAGGGGTAATTCCTGAGTGCAGAGCCAGGAGTAACCCCTGTGCATCACCAGGTGTGACCCCCCCAAAAGCCAAAAAAAATTAAATAAATAAATGAATATTATAATATTGTGCTGGATTTATCCTAAGTTATATACTTAGTTGCTATTATAACATTATTGTAAACAAATAATGAAATTCAGTTAGATTTCTTAATAATGCTCATTAGTCACATATATTTTCGCTAACTCTTGACCTTTGACAACCTACTTATCCTGGAAATAACTTTCCTACCTGAAATATTTTTCAGTTTATTTATTTTAGGTTTTCTCACATTTATTTTATTTTTTGTTCTGTTTCATCCTTTTTGTATCTGACTAGGCTTTCTGTTTCCATTATTGTTCTATGTCTGAGCATTGTGACATCAGCATAATACTTCCCTTGCTTTTATTTGTGTTATTTATCTAATCGTACATCTTCCTGCTTTCACTGAATATCTCTGTACCGCTTTCCTCTTTCTATATGTTTGTGTATTTTTGTCTAATGTTTCCATGTCTACACTAAGCCTTTTCATTGGCTTATCTTTTCTATTTTAAAAACGAAACTATTTTCCTTATTCTACTATTCAATTTCCAAACATCCATAGTTTCTCACTCTCTTGAGCTTAATCTTTTCAGTTCTAAATGTTCTAAGAAAAATATAGTGAATTATATAGAATCTCTTCTTTATAGTTTGAAAACCAGCTAGTACTAACAATAAAAGAAAGACATCTGTGAGATAGGAACCGGGATGTAATCCTTTATGATGTATAAGAATATAGCTTATAATGGCTGACAGATGTTCTTCATTTCTAACTTTAAACAAGTTATTTAAGCTCTCTGTGCCTGAGGTGTAACAATAATACTCAACAAGTGATATAAACATGACTTTTTAATAAAATGCAACATTTAATGTGGTTAGTGATAAGAATAATCTAAACATTTTCAAATATCATATATTATCATTTTATTAGTTATTATTATACCTAACACCAGACCTCTTTTTTATACATATATACATACACTAAATAGACACATAATTTGAAATTGTGGAATCAGTATGAAGAAATTTAACTGTGTTGCTGCAGTGCATTTTTTTCTAAATACTTCTGTTTAGCCCTGAGCTTCTGTCCCATATCTTATTGCTTTGAAAAATGTAAACATTTTCCTAGCTGATTGGAATCTCAGTCCAAATCTGGCCACAGGCTGCTTGCTTTTAAACAGGTAATGTTTAAATTTCAAAAAAAATGGAATTAAGTGCAAATGAATTCCAGTAAATTTACTATTCACTATCTAGTGACATCTTAGCTGTTGGCAAGTAATTAATCAATATTTATTTAAAGTATTTTCTACTATTTAAGCAGTACATAAAGTTTTATGAAATGCAGATTAACTTTGATAACTGATTCATTGCTTTCCATAGTGGCATAATTGTACAAGAAAAACTATCAAGAAATTATCCAAGGTTTATTATTGTAAGAAGAGTAAGTTAA